TTTTTTTAAAAAAACAATTAAACATACTCCCATTATGAGAAATGCTCGTAAACCAGTTCCAAGACTGGCCCAAACGTCTTCTGGGCCTGAGGCCCAGCTGAGAGAGGTTTGAACTATGTGGATCCACATCTTGATGGTGAAGCTCTTACATTAGAGCCTCAGATAATATTTCTAAAACTTCTGAGATGTGGAAGGGAACCAAGACATGGAAACAAAATGAGTCCAGAATTCAGAGAATGGGTATAGGACTCTGTGTGTGTGTGTGTCTGTCTGTCTGTATATGTTTGTGTAGGGGCTTCCAAAGGACCCTCTTTTAAAAACCAGCAGCTACTCATTTGTGTGGTCTGCCTGGTTTCCCCCCCCCAAAAGTTGTCTAAAAAATCTAACTTCCCCGTCTTCCAGATGTTTTGAATGCTGGCTTCTGGGTGTCCTGAGAGGGATCCTGCTGTGGAAAAGTAACACAAGTGGTGGTGGCTTTTCTGAGGAAAAAAATTTTCCTCAGTAAAAAGGGAAGACTTTTCACACTTTTGACCTTTTTAATTTAAGTTGCTTAAGAAGATGGTAATGTCTGTGCAGTGCTTTTTACTGCAGAATGCAGTGAATTGAAGGCACTGCTCTGGTTTTCGTTGTTCTGTTGATCAAGACCTGCACAAGAAAAGACAGTTTTGCTTTGCATTCTGTCATATAACTTGTTTGACAAGATTGCCCCTTGGTTGCCGTGGTTTGGCCGGGGAACAATATTTGTTTGTTTGTTCATTCGTTTGTTTGTTTGCGATACGTTTATAGTGCCCATATCATCATACTCCAAGTAGTGTATGAAAAGATGTATAAAACCATCCCATTCAATTAAACATCTGCCCCCAAAGCAGGCATAAAAAAGGAGACGGCAACAGCCCAGTCCCCATTAAGGTTCAAAAGCCTGCCTGAACAGCCTTGTTTTCACAGCCTTGCCAAGTATCAGTGAGGAGGGACAGGCAGGCGGGCACAGCCCTGGGAGTAAGGGGCGTTCACGTGGGCTCACAGCAGTGAGGTGAATTTGCATACGCTGGTAGATTCGGAAGATGAGAAAATGGATGGAGACGTTTCAAGACATGCAAATGATGCTGGAAAGGTAGTGGCTGCTATGTGGTGTGTTACGAGGAATGAATGTCAGAAGAAGCAACATGATAGAATCCAAGCGTTAGTTAGAAAGGACCTTGGGCATTTTGTAGTCCAACCCCGCCCAGGACAGGAATCCCATTCCTACACCATCCCTCTGCAAGAGAAGCTGCTCCATTGTGGGTTGAATGCAAAAGCAAGCAACCGCTATGAAAAAGGCATGTTGAGGTGTTTGGTCATAGAGAGAGAATTAACAAGGAAACCACTATGTGAAGGAAGAGTGAATGTACCAAGAGGAAAAAGTGGACTTGGGTTAGGTGGAAGTGAGATTTTGAGGCAGAGAGCGCTTAAAGAACAAAAGGTGGGGTGGAAGCAAGAATGGTTTGCAACATCAGGAAGGTATGAAGAAGTCTAGTGTTGCTCTCATTAATTTGAGCTGTGTTTTCCTTTCTTTTGGTGACCGTTTGCCTTTTATTCATTATCATGGGCATTCAGGGGTGGAGGAAGGGGGGCACATGTATCACAACTTTGTGATGCAAACTCCATCCCTTTTGTACAGTAGACACCTATGCTTATTGCTTATTCTTTTTCTGTGCTCTGCATAACATTACTTGCTCTGAAAGGGAAATGCTTGATGGAGATGCATGATGTACAACCAGCCCTCCCTCTTTATTGTTAGTTTTTCTTCGTTCTCAAGAAATAATGTCCTGGAACTCCAATGGCTCAAAACGTCTTCGTCCACAGGCCCTTGAGCAAATAGCATTACAATCCATATCCCGTGGATTTTCAAAGGAGGGATGTTTAAATGTATTTATCTTTAATTTACAAACATTAACATATATTCCATAAACCTGACTGTGTGGAAATAGCACTTTACTTTCTTGTTACCACATCTTATCACACTTAAGGCCCCACCTAATTTTGGTTGTAGATTTCAGGTTGTAGGTTGCAGATTGCCCTAAACCTAGGAGTCTCAGAAAATCATGGCGGTATACATAAATTAAATAAATAAAAATATCCACAGTACCAAATTGGGGTTGCACAAAATAAGATACATAATTCTCCTGCTAAGGGACCTCAGGCGGTTGTGTTAAGGTGACTCTCATGGTGTTTTCCCTCTCAGCTACAGTATCCAGCTCTCTTATTTCAGTTAACTGTCTAAAGTTGGAAACCCCTGTTGTGTTGTTTGTAAGATTTGAATCTGTTAATAGTACCTATGCTAATGCTTTCCCTTCTCATGTACTTTAACAATCATACAGCCTTCACTGAGGCCAGGACCAGATCTCACAGAATCGGAAAAGAACTATGTGGTAAGGTCGCCCCAGAGTCCTGTCTGCAGCCTCATTTTGCACACAGTTCCTCTCAGTCCTCCACAGTGGCCAGCACTACTGGGCAGTGCTGAGCAAGGTTTTGAGTGTGTGTGTCAGCAGTGCACACGTGTATCTATGTGTCCAGCTCTTTAGTCTGTTTTTACAACATAAATGCCAAAATAGAAATGGCACTGCAAATAAGAATGGAGAAGTCCAACCAGTTGTCCTTATAAGAAGGACCTCATTTGAAGAAGCCAAACCTGAGGTTTGAGTTTCTATTATTTGGTGGCTCAGTGAATGCAGGGTCTTTCAAAGTTTGCCATGAATAAAGAAAACAGTGCAGTCTGAGATATATAGCACTGTTGGAAAACTTAATTTGCATGCAAGGGCAGGGTCTTCAAATTTCATACCCAGATATGAATTTTTAAATGCAAGATGGTTCCTGACTAATTGCAATCTCTTTTGCTGCTGTGTTATAAAATTTAAAACTAAATACAACATTCTTCTGTATCTTGCCTCTGTTTTCTATGCTTACAACCTGGATTTCTTCTACACACTCCTACTTGGATTATATCCCTGGATCTACCACTCTGTTGTCTTGCTGGACCTAAATGCTTCATCTGGACTGCCCCATGTGTTCCTGACTTCCCCACATTCCCTGTTTGCTTCATTCTGTTCCCACGTTCCCACCCTGGGATGGCAATACTGCCCTGTCACTGTCATCCAGGAAGTTGTTTGCAATGAGATCTTAAACATTGCTGAAAAATCTGTTCATTACTGCAGCACTATTTCTCAGCCTGTCTTTTGTCACAAGGGGCCATTTAGTGACAATAAATCATCTTTCATCATTTCTCAGCAACCACAAGTCCTGCCGTTAGAAACTGGCCTTGACCGGAATCACACCACGCAAGAAATGTAAGTTTGCCTGGATTGCCACCTAATCCTGGAGCCTTGTCTGCATCTTTTGATGGATAATTTTTCTTTTTCCTTTTCTTTTAATAGTAATAAAATACCTGGTAAAGGAGTTAATTTTAGATTGCAGTTTGAGTAATTTTTTATTTATCGTCTTTCGACTCGAGGAAAGTTTTAGGGGAATTTTTTTCCTCTTTATCCCAAGAAAACATCCCACAGTTGTTGATGTAGCCACTCATAGCTGCTGGTGATGACTTTGAAGGACCTTCATTCCTCTAACTTATTCCTTGGTGGAAGATGTTAGACAAGGAAAAACCATAATCTTGCTATGAAGTTACACTGGCAGACCACAGGATGCGTTTTATAACTATATACATATTGACATGTAAAAATTAGAGGCCATTTAGAATTATTGTTAATGATTTACTATGTTTTGCTGCTTATTATCACCTCTTTCGTTCCGTATTTGAAGACGTTTGGACGGAACGACTCATGGTTGCCATCTTTTTTTTCCCTCTCTCTACCATGAAATTTCAGACTTACCTATCGAGCGCTTTACAGCTACGTCCCACAGAACGATGATGAGCTGGAGTTGAGAGATGGAGATATAATCGATGTTATGGAAAAGTGTGATGATGGCTGGTTTGTTGGTAAGCAGATTGACCAGCAATTGGCTATGCACCCCCATCAATATACATGACACTTTAGTGGAACATTAAAAACTATGTCACTGTCTCAGGGAGCTCACAGCATCATTGTGACAGAGGGTTAAAAGGGAATCTATAGAGAGAGGTTTGAAGGCAGAAGTATGACCCTACCTCAGAATGGATTTGACTGAAATAATTCTTTAGTGAAACAATTTAAAGCACTATCAGGGAGATTTTCTTCAATCTTAATACCTCTGTGACCCACAGAGGGGAAGTTAAGAAAGTCAAGATGGCGACCACAACCATGCGATCAAAGCCCTGCCCATTTTTATGTGCAGCTTTGATCGCATGATTGTGGCTGCCATCTATCTATCTATCTATCTATCTATCTATCTATCTATCTATCTATCTATCTATCTAATTAATTTATATAGCCGCCCATCTCACACAAGGTGACTTTTTATGCCCCCTCCAGACACCCCTGGCAAGCTTGAAATTATTATTCACTTCCCCTTAAGATAGCGTAGGTTTCATTTTTAGAAAGTAAATATATAATTTAGCAGTTACATATTTTAATTTCTCTAGATTTTCTTTTGTTTAAAAAATGGATGGAAGTTTGATCATTTTATTTGGCCCCAAAGCAAACTCTTGAAATCATTAGATGAACCAATGTTAGTTCAATTAATCACAGATATTGGAAGATATTTTGCCAAGATATGCTAGGAAAACTAGCACCACAATTTAAACCAGCTTTCAATGTGTAATATAGTTGTTTATTTTAGGTTTTTTTCTTTTAACAATCAAGCATGTTTGTGCTACAATAAAAGGTGCATGTGTTTCTAAATTGTTAGCTATAAGTCTAAAGGTTTTCTAAAATGAAAATTATTAAACAAGTTCAACTACTGGGTGGCTGCTACAGCTAGTCCATCTTTTTCGCCACCTGCTTTGTTATTTGTCTGGAAAAGAAAAGTAAGCTTGTCTCCTTTTTCAGTTTCCCACATAATTTAGAATTAGTCTTGGAAAAGAAAAAATTGGCTCTGGTCTTACAGTAACAAGAGCTATGGACTTGTCCAAGTCATGCATCGGGTAGTCTAGCCAGCCTTTATTCCTGTCATTTTTTTAAAGCAATATTGACTCACGTTCTTTGGCTGTACCAGGACTACTTAGACAGAGGCATCTAGGATTTCAAACAGTGCTGCATTCTAACTAAATTTGGGCTGGATCTTTTCATAGATTCAAGATCAGAGATGACAAGCAAGCTAAGGCGTCACCAGTTTAAAATAAAAGTAGATTACCTCCCAGTGGATCCCACTGCGATCTGTCTTACTTGGATTTGTCTGACTTTTATTTCGCAATAGGCACATCAAGGAGAACCCAACAGTTTGGGACTTTCCCAGGCAACTATGTGAAGCTACTATCCTTTTAGAGGCTATGGGCAGCCTCTTCGTTTCATCCGGAGAGAGCAAGGAGGACCCCGAGTGTGACATTTTTAAAACAATCCTTGGGAAAGAGAACTTTATGAATGGAGCAGCCAAGACAGTTGGAGTGGACATGGAATGTGATGAAATGCTGGAGTTATGCTGCAAAGTTCCTGCTTCCTTTGAACATGTACAGAGGAGAGGAGACAGGATGATCGAGCCTTGATACTCTGCTGTGTTTGTTTCTGTTTTTATTCTCCAGGGAGTAGGTAATGAGGCTTAGCTTTCCTTCAGTCATGAGCATTGCTCTCCCTAGTGAAGCTGGGGGAAAAGAATAGAAGGAAACAAAACAGGGTTTCTGTTGGAGAGGAGGAAGAAGAAAAGGAGAGAGAGCATGTGTTCCCAGGAGCAGAGGGTGTAGACTCTTGGGCTGGCTATTATCCTGCTTAAATATCCTACAGCTTTCTTTTGCTCTCAGGGACCAGTTTTATATGAAAGGCCATATTGACAGTGTTTATGGAACTCCTCTTCTCTCCCAAGGACATAAACCACAGAACCAAATTGTAGTCATCTGGAGACCAAGTTTGCCCACACTTGTTCTAGTGGTTGACAGATTCCAAATTGAATGGCTAGAATAAAGGAAGACAGACTGTGGTGTAGCATCTATTCCATTTTGGATTTATCCTGCAAAATATTCCTGAATGTGCCTTTCTAGAACTGATTATAAATGTAATTTCTGGCTGCATCTTTTTTTTAAATATCTAGAAATACAGTCAAATTATCCAGTGCACACTTGTTTGGAAGTAAAACCCATTGTATGCATTGATAGTTTCCCATTATTGGACTTTATTGCTGCTTTTTTATAGTCATTTTGATTGTGATTGGCATAATGATACTCTAAAATAAACATTTTTTTCTGCTGTGTTTTTTTATAGTTTATCCACAGTAATAGCAGGAAATTCACATTCAGCATACTTTCTTATATATTAGTCTCCAGAATAGCAAAACCTGTTTAGGTTTCTTCATCCCAAGATCAGCCAAAAACATCAACTGAAGTGCTTTAATAAGATGATTGTAAATATGTATATTCCCTTTGTAAAAACGTACAAATCTTATATTGCAAATTGATATATAAAATTGAGACTTTTAAAAACAGTTTGAGGAGGATGTTTCCGTTTTATTTATTATCACACTAAATGAATTAGTAATTGTGCTACAAATGCTGTTTTTCATCAGAGTAGAGAGTTAGCATTTCTTGCTCAATTGCACTAAAATGGCTTCCTGTGTTCTGCAGCTTCGTGCTCAAGTGGAGCTTCTAGAATGCCACCCTTCTGTAGGCTTGAAGCAGGAGAAGGCAGCCTTAGCAGCTGAGGTCCCTTGTGGAGTTTTGAGGCCGTGCAATGGGTGTGCTCCGATTAGCTGCCATGGGAAGGTTGTCAGTTCCCAAAATACATGTCAGTGGCATGGCCAGTCACAAAGCACCCCTTTACTAGAAGGTGAACAAGGGCCCTCAGGGTTGCCAGCCATCCTGGTGGGGTGCGAAGACATTGCTATAGATTAAAATTCCTATTTATTTTATTTAGTAATATATTAAAAAAGAGGTGTAGTCTGCCCTGTTTTAAGGGATATTTGAATATTTTTATTTTAGGATTGGCAGTAAAATTACAGGATTGAACAATCTTATTCTGCAAATATCTTAACAATATTGGTAGCATGTAACTATCTCTATAGCATTTTTAACTATTATATATTTATATTTCTGCTGACATAGTTCTAAACAAAAAGTTATTCTTGTCTTTGTTTCATTTTACAGAG